CTCCCACTAACTTCACCATTCTCAATGAACCTTGCATTTCCAGATTCAATAATCCTTGTAGTATGATAAGGACAGTAAAATCTATACCCTTTCGATTTTTCTGGATAACCAATGAAATAACCACTGATTGTCCTTGCATCCAGTTTCTTTTCTTGCGGATTGTAGTATCTAATCTCTGCCTGACAACCCCAAACATGCAGGTGTCTTATACTAGGTTTCCTTCCAGTCCAAAGTTCAAAACCCTATTCAATACGTACATGGCAGTTTTTAGAGCATAAGTCCACAATGAAACAGGTAAAGAAGAATTACTTAACATACTCCTAACCATATCCAGTAAGGTCCTATTACGCCTTTCTGATACACCATTCTGTTGCGGTGTACCGGGCATTGTGTATTGAGCACAAATACCACGCTTTTCCAGAAATTTAGCAAATGGGCCCGGATGTTGTCCACTTTCATCATACCTTCCATAATATTCACCACCCCTATCAGACCTGACAATCTTCACCTTTCTGTCTAATTGCCTTTCAACTTCATTAATATAAATCTCCAAAGCATTTGCAGCTTGAGACTTATCATGCAGCAAATAGACATAACCATAACGTGAATAATCATCAATGAAAGTGATAAAATATTTTTCTTTATTGAAAGCATTAACATCAAACGGACCACATACATCAGTGTGTATAATTTCAAGAAGCTGAGTGCTCCTTGTGGCTCCTTTCTTTGTGTGTTTTGTTTGTTTTCCTTTAATACAATCCACACAAATATTTAAATCAGTAAAGTCTAAATCCGGAAGGATTTCATTATTTACCAATCTTTTCATCCTTTCTTTGGAAATGTGTCCCAAACGTTTGTGCCACAAGTAAGCAGAACATTCATTAATTAAGGCACGTTTAGTACCAACATTATGATGCAGAGTCATAAGTGTTTCAGCATAAAGATTATCAAGACATAATTTATATAATCCATCACATAAAGTACCATTACCAATCAAATGATTGTGCTTGTACAAACTGAAACTACCACTACCAAATTTAAAAGAGTATCCAGCAACATCAAGTTTGGAAATTGAAACTAAATTCCTAGATATACTAGGTACATAAAGAGTTTCACGTAAATCCAAATGAAATCCACTGTCGAGAATTAAACGGTACGTCCCAACAGCTTCCACCGGAACTTTCACTCTATTGCCCATAAGGACAAACTTTTCATTTGGCCTTGTGGTTTGGGTCATAAGAAATCCCTGCATTGTATTAGAAACATGAGTAGTACAACCAGAATCAATCCACCAAGTATTATAAGGAACTTCAGCCAGGTTTGATTCATAACATACATAAGCACTAGGCTTACCTTTCTTTTCGAACCAAGCCTTACGTTTCAGGCAATCCTTTTTGAAATGCCCTTCCTTTTTACAGAAATGGCACCTCATCTTTGCATTACTTTCCTTTTTGTGGATTTTAGAAGAAGAGGCCTCATTCACTTTAAGGGGTCCTCCTCCTCCTCCTTTCTTCTCATGCTTCTTTCCTTTATTCTTTTCAGCTCCTTGATGCTTTACATAATTGATAGAATGAGCTCCCTGATTCTTAAGTCTGGTTTCCTCCTGAACTAACATACTGTGCAATTCATGCACATTCCATTTGTCTTTCATGGTATTATAGTTCATTTGGAAAGGACCATACTCAGACGGTAATGAGTTCAATACGAACTGCACCAGGAAGTTCTCATCCACATCCATTCCCAATGCTTTCAATTTTGCCGCAATGCTTGTCATTTCAATAACATGCTCATGCATAGTACGCGAACCATCAAACTTCATGGTGGTCAGTGTACTCATAAGTGTCCCAGCAAGAGACTTATCAGCGGTTTGGGAGCGCTCTTCCACAAGTTTCATCATTTCGATGGCACTTTCAGTTTGTGGAAGAGCTGACTTAATGTTGCTTGCTATGCTCATTTTCATGTACATCAAACTTAATCTGTTGGATCTTTCCCAGTTCTTAAAATGGTCCCTTTCATCCTCAGTGCTTTCATCAGTAATAGCACCAGGTTCCTCTTCTCTAAGAGCCATATCCATATCCATTACCCCAAGGTAAAATTGGATTTGCTCTTTCCATTCAGAGAAGTTCAGCCCATTAAAAACTGTAACAGTTGAGAACATGGAATGTGTAGCAACAGGTACTGCAAGGAATAATATTTAAACATTAATGCTTTGAGTCATACATGTCACATACTAACATACTTCACAGATTCAACTATACTAACTTCAATGCATATCAATGTTCGCCTTTGGGGATCCATTAACATACAACATTAACTATAATGATGCTATATAAATTTCGCATAATTTGGCAATGATGCATACCCCTATCATAAATATTTGTCATCTTTGGATGTCCAAATGTGAGAAAATATGCCAACAATACCAACATCCATGTTCATTTTATAAAACAAATAATCAACCTTTGGGTTGATCCCTAACTGTTCTATAATAATGAACTTCAATATACCACAACCAGAAAATTATTTCATACTCTTCATAGCATCACAGTCATGGTAATTGAAATAAAATTCATGATATTTGAAATTAAAATAACTCTTCAAGATTTGGCCACTTTGGTGACTAACAAATCTACCATAATTAATTTCAAAACTTTGATATTTCATAAACAATAATAGGATTAAATTTTCACATTTAATTTTAATCCAACCACATCACATAATCATTTAAATCAATATGAAAACCGTAAGGATGGGATTAGCTTACGTGACTGAATTTGACATGGCTTTTATCTTTCAATTTTATTTCTTAAAAAACCGTATGGTGGTTATATTTCATTCAAATCAATTGAAAGGCTCTCTTGTTTTTCAATAATTCATAAAAGTTTCAACTTTGTCCATTAAGCACGAAAATCGAGAAGACATTGTGAAAAGAAAACAACTTGCAACTCGGTTCAACACAAATCGGCGACTTGCTTAATATGCACATACAATATCATTCATACAAGAAGCCATAAATATGCATTCGTTTCGTCCTTTTGTGAATTGATCAAAAACCGAGAAGTAATTTACGTTTAAAAATTCACAGAGTACCTTGCTTCAAAATACCAAACGGTGGTTTTCATTTTATGGAAATTCTCATATAACCGTTTGACTTTTATAAGAATCGAATTCCAAAGATAAAACTTTGCAAATCGGTAATTTGGAAATCGTGAATTTGGAAATAAAATAAGATATGATTTGCAAATCAGAATCGGTAATTTGCAAAGAACCCTAACATTTCCAAATCAAGAATCCATTTATAATCATACATGGAAAAAACATAAATTCTTAAACACATGCTCTGATACCACATGTAAGCAATTTAATCAGTAATTCATGATTCATGTTCAACAGTAATAGTTAAGAACATGATACAGGATCTTTAGAATTTATGAGTTTCACATAAGAGTGTACCTTTCTCCATTAGTGCGGAAGAACTTTGATGGTGAAATCCTTTCTCAGAGTCTTAACCCTTCACTATTCTTGTATCTTCTTTGACAGGAATTTGATACAACTCTTCTGGGTAGACAATGATGGAGAGCATTTCTGTAAACCACCTTTTATCAGAAAATCTCTTTTCTCTGAACGTAACTGAACCTGTCACCAGTTACTCCTTTATAAAACTTCCCTTGATAGTCAAAACGTCAATCACCATTAATGCAAAACGTTAAAACGTCAATTACCATTAATGCAAAACGTCAATTACCATAAAGCCTCTTTTATTATTAATTAAACCGATTGACACACGTTACACATGAGACACAAATAGTTTTACATTATCCACTAGAAATGTGACACATCAGCAAACCGAGTTCGACCGGGTAGCGAACTTGCTCCCGGGACAGATTGGAAAATAATACTGTTCGCATGGCATTTAGGTAAAAAACTTGGTGTACAGTGACATTTTTGTCGGTGTTCCAAGGTTTATTATACAACCTAACAAAGTTATCTTTATTTTCGTTCTTTCGAGTTTGTTGAGTGAAGTACGGTAGTTAAAATTTTAATTTTAATTTGTGCTTTTATGATTTTTTTAATCAAAATAATTTTATCAAAATTCCAAACGTTTTTTTTTACGTTTTTACGATTTTTTATGATTTTTTTATATTAGAATTTTATGTTTTACGATTTTTATCCCCCTTCCAATTTTAGCTAAAATCCTGATTTTAACTACCATGGGCTAAAACACCATTCTAGAATTTTTGAGCAAAAGAACTGTCCAATTAAAGCTGATTAGATAAAAAAAAATTAGACTAATGCAGCCAAATACGTCACTGGTATTGACGGTACTAGTCCCATCAATGATATTGATAGAACCCGTGCTATGTCAGCGTCATATAGGCAGTCTCATTACCATAAAACTTCAAAAGATCATAACTTTTGACTCTGGTATTCAAATTAGAAGTTTTTTTTTTATTTCACATAACTTTTCAAGATCTACATAATGACACCTCATTTGATATATTTTATCTCCCACAAACATAGTTTGAATTTGCAACAATAGTTTCACAATTACAAGATCATTTAAATCCATAAGATCTTGAGTTTTTTCTGAACCAACACCATGAGCTGACGCACGTGCCATCTTTTGGATTTAAACGCTATTGTGATTGTGGTACCATCGTTACAAATTTGAATTATGTTTGTGAGAGATAAAATATGTCAAATGAGGAGTCATTGCGTAGATATCGAAAAGTTATATAAAATAACAAAATATCTAATTTGGATATCCGAGTCAAAAGTTATGACTTTCCGAAATTTTATAATAACGGGATTGCCTACGTGACGTTGACATGACACGAGTTCCGTCAGTATCATTGATGTGTTTGGTTGCATTAGTTTGAAAAAACTTATCCAATCAACTTTTACCGGGTAATTCTTTTGCCCAAAAATATCTTAGAAATGTGTTTTTTTCGAGTTTCTTCTGACAACTTCTAGGAAGAAAAAAACGTATTGGCTCAAGCATTTTAGCTTGGCACCTCTGGCAACATTAACGGGCAACATTAACAAATAAAAGTGTATATAAGATAAATTTATTTTTTTACACATATAAAAATGTATGGAGCTATGTAAGAAAAAGAGAGAGAGAGAGAGAGAAACAATATGAGTCCCGCACATATTTATGTATGTGTAAGAAATAAATTTATCTCTTATAACATAATAAACACTAAATTCTAAAATATAAAAGGGAAAAAAATACTTACCCAAAAGTGATTATAAAAGTAATCGAGGTTTGCATGAAAGTATATAAAAAGTGTGTTGGGTATAAATTTATGCAAATATTAATTATTATTCTTTTTTTCGTATACATAGGAAAGAAAACAGACTACAGACAGACAATTATGGGCACCATAATACCCTTAACATCCTCATCAAACAACTCCTCACACCCAGAAGGCACTCGCTCATACCACTGGGTATCCCAGCCACCAGTATTACCAGACACAGCCAACCAGTTAGCTACCTGATTTGCTTCCCTATATACATGCTCAATCTCTACAAACCAGTCCTTCAACAACAGCATTCTGATCCTGGAAACCAAAACAAAACAAGGATGAGAAGTAGTGCATCCCTCTCTAACCAGCTGAATTCCTATTAAGGAATCTCCTTCAACAATGATCCGTTTAAAATGCTGATTCCACGCCCATTCCAGTCCAATTGTAAGTCCCCAAAGTTCAGCCATCAAGACTGATTCCGGGTTTAGTTTCTGAGAGTAGCCCATAATCCAATGGCCATCCCCATCCCTACATACTCCACCACAAGAAGCTCTAGAACCACTTCCTGAAAAAGCACCATCAAAATTAATCTTCACCCTGTCAGCTGGTGGAGGCCTCCAATTCACCCAAATCTCCTCAAATCTGTCCATTGCTAGCCCAGCCATTGACGACATTTCATTAGCAGCTATAGTATTATTTACAAAAATTGAAACTTGAGAGAAAATCTCCTGAAGGGAGGATCCCTTCTCATTGAACACTAAACTATTTTGATCTTTCCAAATAAACCAACAAATGACTCCAAATTTCAATCTCCAACTACTGTTTCTTCTATCCCTATCAAGGTTTTTGGTTATCCAATCCTCCATATCATCACTCAGAAAAGCCTCCAACTCCCTGACATCAACCCAGCATTTCCAAACCTCCCGAACCCAGGAGCACTGCCTAAACGCATGATTATCTTCCTCCACACTGCTATGACACCTGGGGCAGACAGCAATATTAGTCATATTTCTCCTTACTCTCACAGCATTAGTAAGGAGCTTATTCCCAAACAATAGCCAGAGAAAAAACTTGATCCTTTGTGGACCTTCCCAATGCCAAACCAAGTCCCACCTACTGGAACCAGCAACATAATCAGACCTGGACAAATAATCATAGGCAGATTTAATAGTGAAAAGACCCGAGCTAGAAGAGGTCCAAATCACTCTATCCTGTCCCTCAAATTCAGATGGTGGATTCAGGGACCCTATAGCATCAAGAATCTCATTAGGCAGAAGTGGTGACAGCTTGATCCAATCCCAGCTTCCCTCCCTAACACAATCCCACACCCTCCAACACTTAGCTTCCTCAGGGATAATGGTAACAACATGATCCAGTAATTTTCCCACATTGGGAACCCACCGGTCAGTCCAGAAATAGGTATTAGTACCATCCCCAATAATGGTTCTGGTCCCCTCAAGCATCAGATCCCAAGCCTTCTGGATGCATTTCCATGTATTAGAAATAACATTATTCTTTTGTAGCACAAGACTGAAGACCTCTTCAACCTTATACTTACTCCTCAGGACTTTGATCCAAAGATCCTCTTTGTTAGTGAGCACCTCAAAACCCAGTTTCATGGAAAAAGCCTTATTCACTTGCTTTTGATCCCTGAATCCCAAGCCCCCATCCTTCTTAGCCTTGCAAATTCGTTTCCCACTCACTAGATGAGTCTTCCTTTTAGCTTGGGATGAGCCCCAAATGAAACTTCGGGTCAGTTTCTCCACTTCATTGCACACACCAACAGGTAAGCTTGCTGATTGCATTGAATAAGCTGGAAGGGCTTCTAATACTGACTTGGCTAAGACAGAATGGCCAGCCAAGGACAAAGAGGTTAGGTTCCAGCCAGACAATCTTTCTAGAACTCTCCCTAAGACATGCTTGAAAGTTCCTTTAGTGACTCTCTTATGGTGAAGGGGAACACCAAGATATTTCCCCAAATCAGAAGTAATCCCAATCCCAAGAGAAGCACTGATTTCTTTAGCTCTTTCTAGACAAACATTCTTGGAGAAGAAAACTCTGGTTTTGTCCTTGCTTACTTTCTGACCTGATGCCCCAGTAAATAATTTCATAACTTGATTCATCACATGGGCTTGGTCCAAACTAGCTTCAGCACACAAAATAATATCATCTGCAAAAAACAAATGAGAAATGGGTGGGGCATTCTTCCTTAATAAAATTGGTTTCCAAGCTTTAGTCTCCACTGCCACATTGATGAGATGGCCCAATCTTTCCATACATAGGACAAATAGGTAAGGGGAAATAGGGTCCCCTTGCCTAATGCCTCTCCCAGGAACAACAGCCTTAGTTCTCACACCATTCCTCAACAGATTCATTGAGGAAGTGGATATGCAATTATAGACTAGGTCAGTAAGAGATTCAGGAAATCCAACATCCTTCATAGTTTCCCGAACAAAATCCCAATCAAGCCTATCATAAGCCTTCTCCAAATCCACCTTTACCATCATCCAACCTTTTCTACCTTTCCTGGATCTCATCGAGTGAATAAATTCTTGAGCTATGATGATATTGTTTGTGCCCTGTCTGCCCTTTATGAAACTGGATTGATTAGGAGATACAATCCTAGGCAGTAAATTCCTCAACCTTTCTGCAATAGTCTTTGTAATGATCTTATAGACAACATTACAAAGACTAATAGGCCTAAAATCCTTTATATTCTCGGGACTATCCTTCTTTGGAATCAAACAAATAAGGGTCCCATTGATTTCCCTCACCTTCCCAGGGCAATAAAAAGTCTCCTCCACCATCTTGCACACTGATGTTCCTATAGTGTCCCACTGGCTTTGGAAGAACAAATCATTCAAACCATCTGGTCCAGGGGCCTTGAATTTTCCCATTCTAAACACAGCCTTTTTGATTTCCTCCTTGCTAGGTTTCTGGAACAGAAACCTTTTCTCAACAATAGTTAAGCTAGGAAAAGCATTCTGAATTGGGAATTCCCCATGCCTCTCCTCATCAGCTTTAAACAAATCTTGGTAAAAGGAAACAGCCAAGTTTATTAAGGAATCAGTATCTGCTATCCAATTGCCTTGATTATCCTTCAAAGTCACTATCATATTGTGTCTTCTTCTAGATAAAGTGAAGGAGTGCAAAAGCTTAGAGTTTCTATCCCCAAACTTGAGCCATTGGCATCTAGATCTTTGATACCAAGTCAGTTCCTCCTTGACCAAAATAGATTGGAGCTCCTTCCAAAGGCTCTGCAAAACCTCAGTGCTATGATCAAATCTCCCATACTTGTAACTATCCAACCCATTTAGCCGAGAATACAGCCTGTTCTTCTGTTTCATATGCTCTTTAAAAACATTTTGATGCCACTTTATTGCATCAGTTTCAAACCTGCCCCTGGCTGTTATCCAATTATCATCCTTTTCCCAGCTCTTCTTGACCAGATCATAGAACCTGTGATCAGTTAGCCAGGCAGCCAAAAACTTGAAGCTCCTGGAAAATTCTCCCGGTCTAGATTGACCATTGTTGCAAATAAGAAGTGGCCTGTGATCAGAATTGAAAAAAGGAAGATGAGTAGAAAATCTGTCAGGCCAAGCCTGGTTTCATTCTTCATTGGAAACAGCCCTGTCAAGCCTCTCCCGAAGTCTACCATGTTTCCAGGTGAAATCCGGCCCCTTGCACCCCATGTCATTGATATTGCACCTTAATAAGCTCTGATGCATCTCAAACATGTTGTCCCAACACACATCCTTACCTCCTACCTTCTCATAAGCTTTAAGGACAGAGTTAAAGTCACCTAGTATTAGCCAGGGATCAGTTATCAAAGTACTAACTGATTCCAATTCAGCCCAAAGGAGTCTCCTCTCCAACCTCCTAGGATTACCGTAAACAAAAGTCACCAAATCAACTTTTTTTGAATCTAGGTATTTAACTCTAGTATGAACAAACTGGTAGTGTGTATGTAAGACATCCAACTCCACCTTATTACCATCCCATAGGATCCATAAGCCCCCAGAAAACCCAATTGGATCCTGTTTAAAGAAGTTAGAAAAACCCAGCCTCGTTATAATAGCCTCACCTCTAACCCCACCAACCCTAGTCTCCAACAGGGCCATAACACTAACTTTGAATCTGAAACTTAAGTCTCTAACTAGAGCAGGGAAACATTTCTTACCAACTCCTCTACAATTCCATGACAAAATAAACATGAATTTAAAAACAGAAAAAAAAACTTGTACAAGGGAGAACCCCTAACAATACTAGCTACACACTTGTTGAGAGGATGATCCCCCTATCAGACTTTGAGCCTCTCCAATCACCCTCCCAATTTGAACAGGAGCTACTAACTTGGTCAGTAAGGGATTCTCACTGAAGTCTTTCCTACCACCAAAGAGATTAGTACCTCCTGCCTCTTGAATGGGCAAGCTTTTTCCTCTGTTTTTGATCAATCCTTTGTGCACACCCTCTAGCACCGAATTTGGAGAGACATTTTCAGTGCCAGATTTCTTCAAGGTTGACTTAGGACCAAGTTTAGGTTTATCCTTTCCTTCCTTAGAAGCAATTCTTCTGGCTCCATTCTCTACTTTCTTAGATTTCTTCTGTGAACTAGATCGAGATGCCACAATCTCCTTGGGTAGACTGACACGATTGTTGTCCATCTCCATAGAGTCCTCAATGGATCCCATCTCATTAATGGGATGAATTGTACTACTTTGTACCTCCAGCCTCTGTTTCCCAGCTTCCTCCACCGGCAAAACAGTCACAGCATCTAGCACAGGGGATGCTGAAACCTTAATGGCACTCTGATCCCCCACCACATTATTCTGGATGACAGGATTAGCTTTAAGCTTCCTGCTCCTAGGATTTCTCTGGATGATCATCCAGCTGCCAAATGCTTCTTCCTGGTCCACCACATTGGTAACCTTCACAGCAATAGGAGCCACCTCCTTAACCTAAACAATACTTCCTACCACATGTTGACTGCACTGAGTTTGAGCTTCAGGACAATTATCCTTCTTGTGCCCATACATCCCACACTTAAAACACAACAAATGAAGACATTCATATCCAACCGGGTACACTTTATTACCAATCACAAACTTGGATAGCAGGCTTTTCCTCAGGTCTATTTCAACGCAGATTCGTGCAAACTTGCCCCTCTCAGTGATCACTTCCTCACCAACTTCACTCTTCCTCAAGGAATTCCTATCTACCTTGAGGGTGCGGCCAAAGATGTTGCCAATTCGCCAAAGATAGCGAGCCGTATAGAGTTCAATTGGGAGACCAGGTATCCTTACCCAAACGGCCATCTTCTTCACACTTTCGTCATATGGATCAAAAAAAGGTCTCCACCTTTGGACTACCACATAGTGGTCATTGACGATCCAAGGACCTTCTTCTAGGACATGCCTATAATCACCATCATCATGGAACCTCAGTATGAGGTATCCATTATCTAAATCAATAGTCTTAAAAGGACTTACCAAATTCCACATCCTCTGCAACCGAGTCATCAGGAATCTGAAGCTGATCCGCTTGCCTAACAATTTGATGATGAGAGACTTCCGCCACTTTTCGCAGTCCTTCTTGTATTCTTTCATCAAAAAAATATAACGAGGACACAGAGGGTCCTCTACGACAGAATGAGCTAAACTCTCCATCAGATCCGCTTCTTCCTACTCCCTTTTCTGTTTCGTTAACCAGTCTTCATCCTCACTGTCAGATTGCCCTCCCTTCCCGTTCAACCTAAGCAGCTTGTCCTTATAGGACACCATTATGCTACGAGGTCTACCATTAGCCTCAGCCTTCATCCCTTCAGGACTCACTCAGACTGGAGATACTGGAGCAGGCACTCCACCTCCTTCCTCAAGCATGGCTTCATCCATTGTAGCATCCTCCATCGCTGCACCCTTCGGCTTCTTCCCCTCCCGAGAAAGAGTCTCCTCCTCAGTACAGCTCCTATCCCGCGTGATTCTGGAGCCATCCTCCTCCGTCAGTGTTTGCTGGTCTCGTTCCTCCGATTCCATCTTACCACTGTACCGTAACTTGAACCCTAGCAGAGAAAAGTAAAACGCGCGCGTGGATCCCACTCTCATCTCTTCATAACTGACTTTCAGATCTATTAATTATTATTCTTTGATTTTAAAGAAGTACGTTATATTAATTTATTCACATATTTTACTTTTAAATTCTGAATAACTAAGTCTATTTGCTCTCAATTTTGACCGCACCAAATGTTGACAATAGGTTTTTAAAAATTGGCTCGGACCGATCGGGTCGTTCTGGGTCTTGGTGACCCGGTAGGTTCCCTGATCCAAGCGGTCATTTGAAGCGATTCTGCAGTCAACTCGATTTGGACCGGTTGACCCGGCCGAGACCCGACGACCCGGTTGACCTGGGTTAAATCGATTGACCCTCTTTTTTTCTTTTTTGTTTTTGGTAAACTTTTTTTTTGTGATTGCTGAGAACTCTTGAATTAAGATTATGTTCATATTTTATGGTAAATATGATTAAAAAGTAAGGTGAAAATAAGAAGGTATTTTGGATTATTGCAGTTTGTTTATGTAATTTAGTTGTATCTTATAATGATCTCAAGACCGATAAACACTATGGTCTCATCTCAACGGTGGACACTTTCTCCTTAATGTATATTTAACGCTTTCATGATTTAGTTTATCTATGTTATGTCAAGGCACAAAATGTACATTTAGCTTACATTGCAATTTTAATCCAATGTTAGGATATGGTCTAGAGCTAGAAGCCTAGAAGTATATACTATTTGCTATTGTTGAGAACCTATTTATTTTTTGAAGCTCATTGATAGTTTTCTTATGTGATGAATTTTTAATATAAGTAATATGCTTATATTTTTTAATATGTGAACAGTAAATCTAGTTGAAACCGGTTGAACTAATCCTCCAGTGACCCAATACTTTGACCGAGTCGATGACTGGTCCGAGTTTTAAAACACCGATTGACAGTAATGAAGAATATTGCATACATAAACATTAACAACACTTTTATTCCAAATTAGTTACAATTAAAAATATTGCATGGTAACATCCAATGGTAGCTCAGTTGACAGCTGAGCTCCCAAAGATTTGTTTGGGTCAGGGTTGCAAACCCTGCCTCAAGCAAATTCTTGGAAAAAATTTGGGGTCAGAGGACGTGTCTTTCTTCTCGAATGGAAGATAATCTCATCCTTCCTCCAGGGGCGAAGCTCAATGCACCCACTATTCTAATAAGGGATAGCCTTTGGGGCCTTACTCTGAGGACAAGGTGACCGAAAGAAGTTGAAAGGAAATATCTTCAGGTTATACCAAAAAAGAAAAGAAAAGATTATTCCATAGTAAACTAAAAAATATTTTTTTACAATAATTGCAGGAAAGTTACACAAACTTAATTTACCGCGCGCTGAGTCGAGATCTAAAACAAACTAAGCTAGTCATATAGTGGTTAAATAAAGTTGCATTATTTTTTATTTAATTTAAAGTGTATTGTGATGTATTTACAGTTGGTCAAACCATTGATTCAAGAAGCTCAGAATCGATTAGAGTTGTGGCCAAATAAGTATGACCCAATTGTTGAAAGAAACAGTGATTTGAAATATTACAAATTATGATCAAATCCAAGTCTTAATAAAGCAGCACATATTTGGGATGATTTGGCAAGAAAAGGAAAGCAACACATTTGACATGATTTAATTGTAATTATTTATTTCTGGAAATTAGTTACCGTTATATTTATGTTAGGAATTTTTCATATTTTCAGGATTTTTGAATTTTGAATTTCGGACCAATTTGTAATTAGTCTATAAAAGAATGTTTATGATCCTTATTCTAAGAGTTGAATTTTGTTATTTTATTAATAGAAATTGAGAACCGACGGGTTACTTTTCTTTTACCAAATCTAGTTTTTTTTTTGTTTAGCTATTTTTTTATGTGCTTTCAGCATTATATTATAATCTTAATTCTCTAAAATTTAAAGATTGATAAACTATTATTTATTTACTTTAAAGAAAAAAATGTTAAGAAAGAGAGGGTGTAGGCCTGTAGGGAGACAAACACACATCTCAATTTCGTCTCTGTTTTTCCCAATTGAAGAATTTGCTTGACTACTCATTTATACGTATTATCTGACCCGTAGTAGGAGACTTTTACCACCAATTAATGAGTCAACTAACAGGCCAATATGTGTTTGATTTTAAGGGTCTGTGTGATATTGTTGCATGACAGTATTATACTATACATATTATGCACATAATGTCACATTTGTAATGAATTCCGGGTTATGCCAGCATTAATAGAGAAATCTTTATCTATAATTCTATACAATTACAAACCCTTCCAAACCACTATTCCATCCAACCTCACCTTCTTCTCCCTTGTAGTCATTCTTGGTGGCGCTGCTGGGTATGTAGCCACCAAGAATGATCGTGGTTAAAGGTAAATAATATGGATACAGGGAAATCAGAGCAATTCATCAGAACAGCGGTAAGATATGATTTAAGAGAAATTTGTATATTAAAGTACTAGATATCAATGGTTAAGATTGGAGGTAAGATTTGCTATTCTTATATTGGTATAAGTTAAATCTAATCTACCTCTATATATTACAAGTCTATTCCTGAATAATAACAATAAAAGACCTTACTAAGCATTGAGGTTTTACAAAATAGCAATTACGCATAAATCAAATAATGTTTCTGGACAGTCATTTAACACATTAATTTTTGCTAACTTTATTTTTAGTACATTCTCTGTCATAATTTCTTCTTGGCTTAATTTTACGAAAGCCACTGTGAAAATACTTAATGATATCTCTTAAAATAAATTAGAAATTGTTTGTGTATCAAATATTAATTAGAATGATAGTTCATAAAACCACAAGACGTAAGTTTAATAGGTAAAGTGAGTTCTATGAAACTAGAATTGGAATACAAACACGAAACCAACTGAAAGTTGGTGCTCGACATGCATGTTTGGCTATATATAATCTCACACTTAAAAAATGGGACACCTCAATTTCTTTTTTCCCGGGTCAGTCTAAAATTATTCAGTAACTTTGTTTTCGAGATGAATATTTTCTATTCTTTCAAAATACAAAATAAAAATAACTCAGATATATTCTCTAAATATGATTATAAAAAAAAATTACAATTTTTAAAATTTATTTTAAAAAACGGGCTCTATCAAACAAGTTTTTTTTTCTCCCACAAAATCAAAAAACTGTTTTTGGAATAGATTTCAAACATGCCCAGTGGAAAATAGTTGATTTGGTAAGGAGACATCACAATTTATATGCGTCCTAATATGTGATTAACATAAAAAAGAGAGAAAGTTTGTTACCATTTATGTATATCACTTCTAGAAGCTGGTTGAGGAAGCTTCAACACGGATACCGCTCGCCCAATGCATGAAAAGTGCTGGCGGCGGCTTCCATTCCGCTACGAACAAGGTTATAATCTTAAAAGATACGAGTAATCAATAATATATCTCAACGTGCTTTGACTTCCTCACTATCAGCACTAGCAGGGCCCTCATGTCTCAATCTCAAGGTTTATACAACCTAACAAAGTTTTCGAGATAAGAGTGTGAATGAGATAAATTAATATAACAGATAAGTATAAAAAAAGTATGAAACTATGTGAGGAGAAGAGAAAAAAAAAATATGAGTCTCACATATTTATGTATGTGTTAAGTTTATTTTTTATATATATTTCTTATAATATAAAAAATATTTAATTTTGAAATATAAAAAGGAAAAAAAATACTTGCCCAAAAGTACTGGGTATAGTAGTAATTGAGGTTTGCATGAAAGTATATAAAAAGTGTGTTGGTTATAAATTTATGCAAATATTAATTTTTATTCTTTCGATTTTAAAGAAGTAGGTTATATTAATTTAAAAAATAAGTTTTTACAACAATTGCGGGAAAGTTACACAAACTTAATTTATCGCTGAATCGAGATCTAAAACAAACTGAGCTGGCCTTAAAGTGGTTAAATAAAGTTGTATTATTTTTTATTTAATTTTTTTTGGTAGAGATTTTTATTTAATTTAAAGTATATTGTAATCTTAGTTCTCTAAAATTTAAAGATAGATAAATTATTATTTATTTATTTATTGTTATGAAAAGGTTAAGTAAGAGAGGGTGTATGCTAAGGTTACTGAATCGCAATACGTATCGTATGTTATTTGATCGATTTTTTGTATCGTGTATCATGAATAGTATCGAATCGTAAGATACAAAAATATAATAAAAAATTTAAAAATATATAATATAATTAATATTATATAAATCCAAACTCCAAAAAAGATCCAATGAGCAAAATACATAAGTAATTAAATTGTAAACCAGTAAAAACAAAAAAAAGTGCAAACCAGTTATTCTCCTATTCATCAATCATTAAGACTAATATTATCACTACTATCACTATCAGCATCTATCAGTGACATAACTAGTGCATCATTCTCTTCCAAAAAGGATCTTTTTTAGGTTTTTTTTAATTTAAATTACACATCGAATCTTTATTTCTTTTTTTAATATTGAAAATTACAATTTTTGTATCATATGATACACGCATCATATCATAAGATACAGTATCGTATCGTAAAATATCGTATTGTATCGTAAGATACAATATGGCATTGTATGAATCGTATCGTGTATCGTAAGATACTGATAACTATTGTGTAGGCATGTAGGGAGACAAACACAAAGATGTACACCTTGCTCTCCAAAGTGCATCACCCTAGCCTCTTAGGATGAAAGATACCATATGCACTAATGCACAAACTTTGAATCCAAGTGCTATTAAGCTTAAAATGTAATTTGAAACACACATAATTTTTTTTTAAATATAAATTGTTCTAGACTGATCACACAAGTCTAATTGATTGGGCCAACCTTTTAGGTTCATTACAAGGGTTACAATCCTGTATCCTTAAAGTGAGATAAATATTATCTTGTCATAGTGAATCTTAATCCCTTGAACACCTCATACATTAAATGAGAATGCTTATCTC